GATATACATCCTCTGCTTTTTCTGAACCCCGTAAATAATCGCGGAACCTGATTCTTCCTTTTTGGAACGAAGACGTTAGAAGCGTCCGGCTTTATAAATCAATAAAACCCACAGGCACGAGGTTCAACAAGTTACATCTTAGCTAAAGCAAAAGGAAACGTTCGGTCCACGACCAGCATCCAAACGAAACTGAAGGTTCATCGCGAAGGCAACATTACAACCAACCAAAGCATCCAACGCTGAAGACCTAGCTAACATAGAACTCCCTCTAAAAGACTCCAAAAAGCTTCAACGACTCGGCGGATCTTGTCTTGCCATCACCTTGATAGTCTTGATGCGCGTCATGGCCTCAGCTCAGCAACCTGATTCTTCCTACATGTACTACTTTCTTGTCCAGTTTGACGATCACGATTACAAGCACGCTCCAGCTCCAGTGAGAAGTTTACCGTCCCTTTTCAATGTTATTTAGCCAGCATGTGCAAGTCAACTGGCAACGACCATGTCTTTTATTCTGCGATTGAGACGGCTATTTCAAGAAATTGTTGCCTCATTGCACGCGCGAGAGTTGGGAGTCGTTGTTTTTCTTTCGTTAAGAGATGGGGTTCTGCAACAAATTAACCTGGCAGTGTGGGTCGGTGGAGAATTCGGGGATGCAGAGGAGCCCCTTGGCGCGACGGTCGAGCAACATCGTCTCTGCCGCCTCTGTTTGTAGGGGGCGACGGAGAGACGGCTCGGGAAAGTGGGCGGACCCTAGCGCTCGCTCCGTCGGCGAACCCTATTTCGCGGCAGAGCATGCTGCCCGTTCCCTGCTTTGGTTGTTCGTTCGTTTTCTTCTGTTGCCTTTCTGTTTTGTTTTATCTTTTTTTAGGGTTTTGTTTTATCTTTTTGATTTTTCCTTTCTAGTTCTGTTAGGTTACTATAGTAAGCGTGCACGTGTAACGCACGCATCTGGAGTGGCATCTGGGGCATGACCCCAGTGATACTGGTTGAGGGTGCAAGGTTCATTTGAGCAATAGATGTTGAGGAGGCGGCACCGAGAGCTTTGCAGCTTCAGTGACATGGACCTCGTGTCTTGTAGGTTGGAACTATTGCTGTTGCAGACATATGGAATGCTTGTCTCTTCAACACTGCGGGAGAGTACGCCGTGACTTTCTTTCTTAAAGTGATGGAAGAGCGGCTTGTTCAGCAGAGCGAGTCCCCTAACTAGTGTGTTTTTGGTTGTTCCGCAGAGCAAGTCCCCTAAAAAAAGCTAGTGTGTGTTTGGTTGGCGTTTGTTGTGGCACTCAGCGCACTGTCAGAGTGGGTACCGCCCTTTGTATTTAGTGTGTTCTAGAGTGGGCTTGACCCGTTTGGTATGGTTTTCTTGGTTTTCCATGATTTAGTGGATAGCCTTCTGTTTAATCGATGAAACGACAAAGCTTTCCTTCATGTTTGAATTTATTTTACTCGTACTCATTTACTTAACTAAAATTCAAATATATGTAATGTATTTTTTCACCAGTAAAAAAGGCATGCTAAACACAAAGGATAATTCTCATGTCTGCTTTGAAAATCCACACAAGATAGAATCGAATTAAGAATCCACAGAAGATAGAATCGAAGAAGAAGCAAAACCATAGAGAAATAGACCTAGAAAGTACAATCTTCAGCCAAGCCACAAAATCCTCACACCAAGAAGTAGAAGTTCAAGGCTGATGACTTCTTTATTGAGCATCATTTCTTCTTTGATTTCAATCCATATGACTCTGCTCGACTTTGCCGCAAGCGTTTTTGGACAGCCTATCAGATGAACTTCCATTCCTCATTGCTGTTTGACAGGATAAAGTGTTTGACCATGAGCATCTTCCTCATGTGGATATGCCGTGTTTCACCCTAATCCTCAGTGTTCTTCATGACGTTGGTCTGCTCAATTTCTGCATCGACATCTATAATTGGAATGAAGAGCTTATTCTTCAGTTCTATGCCACTTTGCATCTCACAGGCAATGTTGATGATGTGAATTCATGGGTTCTGGACTGGATGACAGAAAACACTCATCACAAAGCTCTGGCCTTTGAATTTCTTCATGCCGTCCCAGTCAGTCCTCCCACTGAAGGCGCTCTGAAACTCTATGAGGAACCTGAATTGCAAAATCATCTGATGCAAGTGCTGATGAAGCCTTTGAAGGCTGGCCAAGCTCCAAGGACCAATTTTCTCTTCAAGGATTTGCTATATGTGCCAAGAACAGTCTATCGCATTCTAGCGAAAACCCTCAGTCCAATTAAGGGCCACAACTCTGAAGAAGAAGAAAAAGAAGTTGTTGGCATTATGAAGAATCTGCTTTTCAACATCATGCACTACAGGAATCGGCTACTTTGCTGTCTGCCACGGCGGACGGCAAAGGTCATTGCCGTCTGCCACGGACGGCAACAGGCTCCGGCAAAGTAAGGTCCGGTAAAGAGCTACCTTGCCGTCCGCATTTGGTGGCTGACGGCAAAGGGGCCGTTGCCATCAGCAGCGGACGGCAAAGAAAGCAAACGGCAAAAATTGCACTGTTAGTCCATTAGGTGGCTAACGGCAGGCCTTTGCCGTCCGCCGCTGACGGCAAAATTTGTCCTGCCTTTGCCGTCCGCCGATGATGTCAGCTAGACGTCACTACACGGCAGGCCTTTGCCGTCCGCCGCTGACGGCAAAATTGTTTACTCTTTATCGTCTGCCACTATAGGCAAACTGACCAAATGGGTCAGCTCCCAGGAAGCACAGTTGGCTGCCACGTGTCTTCTTTGCCGTCCGCGGCTGTTGGCAAAGAGCCCGTTGCAGTCGGTGGCAGACGGCAAAGAGCCTGCATATTGGCTCTTTTTTCTGTTTTTTTTTAAATCCAACAATTTTCACAGCAAATATAAATGACATATATAGATATATTTCACAGGGCTATTTAACAGCAAACATATGACATATCCAGCACATAAATTTCATCGTACACACATATATAGTTCCATCCATTCATACATAGCAAGTTGCACATACACATAAGTTGCAACCATTAGGAAGTTGCACATACATATTACAATGCAAAGTTTCATCAAGATAGCAAGTTCCATCGTAGCAAGCTAGGAGAATACTAGAAGAGAATGAAATAAAAAACAAGCACTCCATCATAGCAAGCTAGCTTCCAAGAAGTGAATGAAATCTGCAAAATGGCAAATAAGAAAGTTAGGAAAAGGTGACTAGAAGAAGAAGCACGCCATCGTTTGTGAGGTAACTTAGGTGAAATGGATCATTTATGAGCTAACTTAGGTAAAATGCATCATTTTAGATCTAACGTAGGTAAGATGGGTCATTTTGGAGCTAACGTAGGTAAAATGTGTCATTTTGGAGCTAACGAAGGTAAAATCGGTCATTTTGGAGCTAACATAGGTAAAATGGGTCATTTTAGAGCCAACGTTGGTAAAATGGATCACTTTGGAGATAATCTAGGTAAAATGGGTCATTTTAAAGCTAACTTGTGTAAAATGAATCATTTATGAGCTAACTAAGGGAAAATGGGTCATTTTAGAGCTAACTTAGGTAAAATGGATCATTTTGGAGCAAACCTAGTTAACTAAGCATATTATAACTAACTTAGGTCATTTTGGAGGAAACAAAGGTAAGTATGGATTGTTTTGGATGTCAGTAAGCTTATTAAGTCATTTTGG